TATATTTCCGCAAAAATACTTTGTGCTTTTTAGCTATAAATTATGAGTTTTCATGAATGTTTATGCTTTAATATAGCTGTTATAGGAGGAGTTTTTTACTTACAAATTCGTCTCATCTTCTTGATATATGTTTTATTTTTCTAACTATTAGTTTTTGGTGTTTTGCAAGCTATTACCTATTACAAAATCTTTATTGTTTGGATAGGTTTGTGTTCCTCATTCTTTATATATACTTTTTTTCTCTCTTTTTATGAGGAGTAAAAGTTTGCGTGTATTCCGACTAAGTGATTTGGTATTTGCCTTACCCTATTGTAATTTTGCATCTCTTTAGGAATAAGTATTTTAAAATCTGTTAGCTTGATTACATTGTTGAGGAGTAAAGTTTAGTGATGTCATATTTTATGTAATTCCGTAGCTTGATTGCATTGTTGCCTTACCCTACTGTAATTTTATGTATATTCCAACTAAATGATTTGGTATAATGCCTTACCTTACTGTTAACTTTTTATACACACTGCATACAGATACAATATACACTCACACACATCACATACACTTATCCGCACAGAGTACACACACTTACCTACACTTACACACACATTTTATATACATACACAGTACAACACATATGCAGTGTCACACAAACACTGTCATGCACTTATACATACACAACACATACAATATATGTTGAATAAGAAGAGTATCCAAGATAACTCTAATGATCCCAAAAAGAAGAAAATAGAGCACACTCTTAAAGAAAGCTCACAAAACAAACTAATTAGCAAAGCTTTTCTTATTTAGCTCTAGGCTTTGTTTTTCCTTGGATGATATACAATGCGTGGGGACTTGGGTATTTATAGCAAACCAAATGAAAGCTACACCACACACTTACTTCACCTACAACATCCACCTACTTCACCTACAACCTCCACTTACTTCACCAACCTCACACACTTACTTCACCTACACCTCCACTTACTTCACCAACCTCACACACTTACTTCACCTACAACATCCACCTACTTCACCTACAACCTCTACTTACTTCACCAACCTCACACACTTACTTCACCTACAATGACATTAATTCTCAACAATATATACTCACGCTTATACCTTTTTTTATCACTTGGAAGATATTGTTGGTTTTCCTCGGCAATACAATATACACTCACACACTTATGCAGCACATTCACTCACACATGCAGTACACACATTGTTGTTTTCCTTATTTGATTGTTGGGATGCCAAAGTTTAAGAATTTGTATTTAATTTGATTCTTTGGTATACTCAGTTAATTAGCTAAGAATTGGTTTACATTTAGATAATATATATATATATATATATATATATATATGATTTTGGACTGTTTCTCTAACTGAATTTGTTTTGATTCGATGGGTTAGTGAGTTAAAACTACAAGTGGGTTTCTTTTGGTTTTTGGGATGTTCTTAACTTTCTGTTTCCTGATTGAATTTGTTTTGATTCAATTGGATTAGTGAGCTAAATTGCAAGGGGGGTTTGTTCTGGTTTTCGAATGGCTCTTATGGGTTGTGTATGAGGTTGGAGGATTTGAACTAAACCATGCAAAGGACATTCATAATAATGTGCAAGTAGGTATTACATATATAAGTTGCATGTGTTTAATGGTTTGCATTGCTTGCTGTTCTTCTGCGTAATGGTTGAATCTGTGCTTAGGTTGGTTTAAAACCCGGGTTGTGTGCGTTTATCGGTTTAATTGGGGGAATGAAAAAATAAAGTTGGCCTTTCATTGAAGATGTGACATCCCACATCGCCCAGGGAGTGATCCTTATATGTATATTCTCATCCTACCTAGCACAAGGCCTTTTGGGAGCTCAGTGGCTTCGGGTTCCGTTGGAACTCCGAAGTTAAGCGAGTAGCGCGCGAGAGCATTCCCAGGATGGGTGACCCATCGGGAAGTTCTCGTGTGAGTTCCCAGAAACAAAACCGTGAGGGCGTGGTCGGGGCCTAAAGCGGACAATATCATGCTACGGTGGTGGAGCGGGCCCGGGAAGTGATCCGTCTCGGACCGAAATGTGACAGAAGATGCTCAAACAATTGGAGTTTGTTTTATTAGAAAGATGGTTAAACATTCTGTTTTATTGGGAACATGCACACATAGAATTCATCTAAAGGAAGGTTTAGATTCTTTGAGGCTTTTTATCTGGAATTATGTCAATTTGGAATAAAGGAAAGAGATAAAACACAAACAAAGGAATTTGATTTGGGGGTTAATACTAAGATTGGGTCAATCAACATTTTATGTTTTCAAGTCGAAGTCATTCATTTTCGACAGTAAGTTTTCATTAGAATTGGGGAGAAATTCTGATGAACTACTTAATCTCACAAATTTGTAAAGCTAATCAAAAGTAGATTAACATTATATAATATGGTTTGAAACTCGGGTTTGAATCTGTGCTTAGGTTGGTTTGAAACTCAGGTTGTGTGAATTAGTTTATCTGTTTAATTGGGGGAATGAAAACGAATGAAACACAATGAGGGTTTAGAAAAGTGAAACCCTCAATGTGTTTCATTCATTTTCGACGAGAAGTTTTCATTGTGGAAAATTCTAATGAACTATTTAATTGTGAGAAATTCTAATGAACTACTTAATCTCTAGAAATTCTAATGAAATACTGAATCTCACAAATCTGTAAAGCTAACGGAAAGTAGTTTAACAGTAATGGAAACAGAGAATTTGAGAGATTCAATTTGTAAGCTACTTTGAAAATGCGTTTTCTAGATTAATCCAATTGAAAATGCATTACGTAATTAGAACCCGCTGCAACACGTGGGCCATTTTTCTAGTGAGAGCAAAAACAAATATAATTAGGACTCAGTATAAATCAAATAAACAGCGAGGGGCGTGTGAAAATGTGAGGACAAAGTTCCACATTGGTAAAGGACCAAACTATGCAAGAGATTATATGAAGTTAAACTACTCCCTATATTATCAATTAATTTTAAAATAGAACCTCAACTTTCTTCGTATACATTCGAAGAGGTGCAGATTGATGGATTGCCCTTCCTACTTTGAAAATCCTTTTCACTCGAAAAATTAAACTATTTACAAAAAGTAAAACAATGTACAAAAAGTAAACTTCAACCACCACGACTCCATTACATGAGAGCGAAAAACAAATATAATCAGGAAATAAACAGTCATGGCCCTAGGACGGGATCCTCGGGGTGTAACTTTTGTTTCTATTAGTTGTATTAATACCTTGCTTTTACTCAATGCTACTCATTGTTTTTAATTTATGCAGACACTTTCCAGTTCAGAGAGAGCTCCGCCTTGCTGGAATTCAGTGACCAACATAAAATAAAACAACTTATTCTTGGTTGGGTAGCCACATTCTCCGTGTGTGTGTATATATATATATATATTGGTCAATGCATCAGCATCCCTCATATCTCTCACACTTGCCAAATTGGCTTTAAATTGATATTCATGGATTTCGAGATTGGATTGGGTAGAATATATACATTGCTTGGATCGATTATGTAATGTCAAGAATTGAAAGAAAAAAGAAGATTTTGAGCTTGAACCACAATCTGATATGCCAATGCCACTTAGACCTTAACAGCCAAATTACACCAGATGTCTTCGGTAGTTTCTCCAACAAGCAATATTTTACTTTAAAGTAATATAAATGGAGGAGAGAAGGATTTGAACTCAGTGTATATGAAGAGTATTTTATTTTATTTTATTTTATTTTATTTTATTTATGTGGAGATTATATCCGCTATAGTTCTGCAACATAAATGAAAATCCATACCAACATAACTCTTCTACTTCGTTATTCGTATCCTTTCAACTTCCCACTCTTGTTAGATTCTTACTTCTAGGCAGTCGGTTTCTCTACCGGCAACGTACTACCACCACGGGGCTTATTTATTGATAACTATATCATTTTAAATCTGTGGAATTTTGTTAGAGATGAGAAATGAGTGATGAAGAGAGAAGTTGAGGAAGAAGGTGAGAAAATATTTTTACACTTCAAAGTTAAGTTTAGGATATGTCAATAATAAGGTCTAATAGTACTGTTCTTAATTATAAATGAGAGGTCTTAAGTTCGATTCTCATCAACAGCAGATTCGAACCAAATTATCGACTAGCCAAATGTGAGGTTTAGCCCACTCCCCCACTCTTTAGTGTAAATAATATCGAATATCTTAAAAAAAAAAGTTAGATTTAAAAAATGTAACTGGAAAATATTAAGTTATATACACCTTAAATTTTTTTGTTTGTTTGATGCATTCCCTTTCATTTGTCTTCCTTCCCTCCCTCACCTGAAAATATAACTGGAAGGTTAACTACCCTTCTAATACAAATGGTAGTAAACCTTGATCTATTTGACTTTTGCCCTTATTATACTATCTGCTTTCAACTTTTTAAAGTAACCTGGATATCACCTCAACCAAATGTAAACTAACTACTTGTCCCTTCACTTATTATTAACGTATCTTCACCGTACAAACATTATAATCGAAACCGTTTATTATCTTTATTATCAAAGATCCTACACACAACAAAATTATTCAATTTGGAAATCTTTTAACCATTCATATGCATAAAACAAATAAACAGTTCATCATGAAGATGCTACTTGTTACTAAAACCGTTGATTGGCTTTACATGAATGGATGACTAAAAAATCTCTGAATTGAAGAATTTTTTATAGATATGATTATGATAAAGAGAATGAACGATTCCGATTATAATGTTCATACTGTGGAGATACATTAATCGTAAGTGGAGGGACAAGTAAGTTCTCCAACGAGGCGAACACAAGCATTATCCTAAAAACTTTATGGCAAACACCGGTGTCCCCTTTGGGGGATGAGCTCATGCTCCCACTTACAAATAAGGTATCTGCTCCAATTCACGAATTTGCGAATGTGTTCCCTCACGTAAAACATACATCCATTATCAAGATCAAATACAACTCACATATGTGAATTTACCAAAAAGATGCAACCGAATATTCCGAGAACGAATTAACTCCAAATTCTCCTCTGGGTAAGGCTCAGGATACAAATATCTGCTCCAAATATACGGGATTGAACAAACAGCAGACTAAAGATAAAGTACAACCCACACACAATGGCCTTGGAAGTGCGTGTAAAATCTTAGTTTAATGATTAATTTCCCAATCTACATATCTAGAAACTATCATAAACTTGACCCTTCTCATTGCTTAAAACAAAGATGAAACAGGGAACAAAAAAAACCTCATCTCAAGAGCTTTCTCTTCATCATAAATAAATTTTGATAGCTTCCTCATCAAGTCTTTTATGTCGGCACCCGCTAGAGCATTGCTTATCTGTTAATATATATGAAATAATATGCCAGTCAAATACATGCTTTCGCAAAGATTATGTTGTGTTTGTGCAAATCTAAGTTTTCAAATAGGTTAATGCTGCTAAATATATCCCAGCATAAAGAAACCGACAAATACAACAGTTTGGCCAAATAATTATTGGTCTGAGCCATATGACATTGATGCTCCATCCAAAACTGTACCTAATACATGGCGGGTAAGAAGAAGATAGGGAATACATCCATGCGGCTAGCGGCCAAATTGATGCTTTCTGGTGGCTTAAGAGAAATCAGAACATAAGGACAGGACTAAATTGCCTTACCCACTATGAGGATCTTCAAGTTCCTTCTTCACCTCTTCAGGGAGATTGGCTAATCTAATAAACGAAACGAAGTCTCCCATGACCACTGCTATATCAAACTATCCTCCTAAATTATACGAATTGCAGTTAAAATGAACATAAAAATCCTCTTTAGAAGGTTATTGGAATTTCATACATGCAGCGTGTTATGTATGAATCGATTTATATAGAGAAGACAATTAAATTCATAATTTACAGAGAGGGGAGAAGATTACCAGAAAATTGAAGCATTTTCCTGAGAAACAAAGGGAGAGTGTTTGATAATTTGAAGAACAGAGAGCAAACAAATAAATACAAGGCTAGAAAATCCCCAAATCGATTAAAAAAACACACAAGACCATGCTGCCTAACCTAACCAAACAGTACAAAAAGATTTGTAAAATAATTTTGGCCTCTCAATCACCACATGCCAGCAGATATAAATGCAAGAAATAATAAAACATTGATTTTTTATCAGAATCCTGGACTCAGGAGGACCATGCTCGGGGCCTGTTCACCATCCCCACCCTTCCCTCTCTGTTTCTCTCCCCGAAATCATCACGACCCATTCTCTCTCTCTCTCTCACTGTCACCCTCCCAGTCACCGAATCAAACATTGGGGCACTAACATCCTAACCTCTCCCTCTCTCTTTCTCACTGTCAACCTCCCAGTCACATATGTATATGTGTTATATATCACAAACACGTGTTTTATTATTTTGCCTAAGAATATATTACAAAGGCACGGGTCATTTCGGAGACCCGCGGTAACATGTATTACATCTATGAATTGGGATATAGCAAGACAAAACAACACCACACTACATAAAGGATAACAAAATGCAACAGACTCAACCCCATAACAACTTAAACAACAACTAAACATGGAGATCAAATTTACAAGGACTAAAAAGCACTTTATCCCCTCCTCCTCCTCCTGCGTCTTGGCTGCCGCCTCCTGCTGAATTTCTCGACAAACCATTCACGCTTCTTGTTTGCCAGTGTATTCCCAGCAACCACCCCAACTATTAGACCACTGACAACTCCTGGCAGAACCACATACCAATCTAGTCCAATTTCGAACCCAGAGTCTTCATCTTCTTCCACGGCTGATGGTGGTGGCGGCGCTTCACATTTCCTTGACAAAGGCTTTCCACACAAACCCGAGTTTCCTTCGTATGAATCGTTTTCGAATGTGTCAAATTGTTTGCCAACTGGTATTGGGCCCCAAAGAAGATTATGGGACACATCCCAACATGCAAGGAAATTGAGTTGCGCCAGATTACTGGGGATCCTTCCTGAGAGCTGGTTGTGGGAGAGATCTAATGACTCGAGCATATTCAAGTTCCCCAACGATGAGGGGATTTGACCGGTGAGAGCGTTATTCGAAAGGTTAAGCAAAACAAGGCCTCTTAGATTCCCAATAACACCTGCTGGAATCTCTCCGTCAAATTTATTACCCGATAGATCTATGAGTTTGAGAAGATTTGGGGTCTCTTCATATTTCAGCACAACACCTTTGGCAAAGATTGTGAGCGAGAATGCATCTCTAAAGCGGGTTACAAATCCTTGTGAGTCGATTAAGGACAAGGTCTCAAAGTACGTGTGCTTGCTTTTGCCAACAAATTTCATGGAATTCCAGTTCTCAAAGTAGTTTGAGGGCAATATACCAGAAAAGTCGTTGTTAAACAAATCGATTATGCAGAGCTTGGGGAACTCATGGGTTGTTGCAGGGTTACCAATCACGCCATGAAATCCATTAGACCGCAAAATGAGAGCCCATAAGACTGGAAGTGCCCCCAACCAAGATGGGAAGATGTCGCTGATGTGATTGTTTGCAATGTTGAGAAGCACCAACTGAGTGCAATTGGCAATTGATCTTGGTAGCTTTCCCCCTAACTGGTTATAACTTAAATCAACCGATTCCAAACTACTATTTACAGTTGAACATAACGAAGGAAGACCACCGTGAAAACAATTGTTCCCCAGACTCAGTTGTCCAAGATTACTGGAGTTCCCCAAACACTGCGGAAGCTTGCCACTCAAGTTATTGTTGGACAAATCAAGAGTATGCAGATCATTCAAGTTGCAGAATGACGGTGATACTTCTCCACTATAACAATTGTCTGCAACATCATAAATTATGATGGATTGTGGCGGAATTGGCAGTGATCCTTGTAACTTGTTAAGGCGGAGAAATAAGTACAACAGATTCTGCCACGGAAAAGTGCCTGGATCTTGCTCAAACCCTGTTAAAGAGTTGTAAGCAAGATTGAGATTCAACATTGTTTCTCTAGTTGCATTCCACAACCACTTCGGTATTTGGCCCCGAATGTTGTTGTTGGAAAGGTAGAGGGTGGTCAACTCGTATTGATCATGTAAAAATCCTGGAAACTCGGTCAAGTTGCACGAATCCAGCCTTAGACTCTGAAGCTTAGGAAAAGCAGCGGTCATATTGGTTTTGAAATTCAGAGATAACTTGTTAAATGATAAACGTAGATCCTCTAAAAATTTGAGCTTAGAAAGTTGATCAACTTCAACCAATCCACTCAAGTTGTTATCGGAAAGGTCAAGGAATTGAAGATCTCGTAATCGGAAGAACGATTGAGGAATTTCTCCATGTAATTTGTTATATCTGAGGTCTAGATGGCTTAGTTGGGACAAGTTCATGAGCCAAGAAGGGATTGGACCAGTCATTTCATTGTGCCCCAAGTTTAGGTATGCGAGTTGGGTCAAGTTAGCCAGAAAAGCTGGGAAGTCTCCCCTTCTAGCATAACAAAGGCCCAAGTGGGAAAGGTTTGTTAGCTTTCCAACCCAAAACCAGGGATAAGAAGGTAATTGACTTGTGGAAAAGTTTTCGTGAGAGTCGTAAAATGCGGAAATGTCAAGGTAACTGAGTTGGGTAAGGTTTTTGAGTGAGGATGGAAGACTAGGATAAAAGGTACAGTATGAGAGTTCTAGCACATTTAAGGAATGAAGGTTTCCGATAGAAGAGGGCAATTGACCATAGAAATTCGTGTTCGAAACATCCAATGTCTTGAAGGAATTGGTCTTGTTGAAGTTAGGAAAATAACCGGTTAGGTTCAAATTGTCGGACAGAAGAAGAACTTGTAAGCTTGGTAGGTGGAAAACACCAACTGGGAATTCCCCATACAACCCACATTGAGCGAGTCTGAGGGATATGAGAGAAGATGCATTGACCAAAACATCAGGCAGAGTGGAATATATGTCTACCAAATCAAGATGAAGTTGTTCAATGTTCTTGGTCACATTTTGAACTAGGCTTATCAAGTTGGTCTTGGTCAGTTTCAAAATGTTTTTACGGTTGGGAAACTTCTGACTGGTTGACAGAGCAAGGGTTGAGAGCTTGGATAGCATTGAAATTTCTGATGGAATTTCGCCAGAAAAAAAAGACTTTGAAAGGTTGAGATACGTTAGGCTCGCAAGATCATGCCCCAATCTTGATGGTATTTGGGAAAAATTGAAGTTGTTATCTGAGAGGTCAAGACTCTGCAAGTGAACAAGTTGAAAGAGGCTGCTGCTGGAGTTGATAGAACCATAGAGACAGCTACTTCTTAGGTCAAGGCCAATAACATGGCCAGAGACCTCATCACACTCGACACCATCCCACGAACAACAGTCACTTGTCTGATTCTGAGCATCTCCTTCTGGTGTCCAAGATGCAACCTTTGGATAAGCAGAAGGAAGTGCAGAAGCTGACTCGTCTATCGTGAAGCTGTCGTTGAATTGCAACAAGGCAGAGCGCTCATCGTCGTGACAAATTGTCTGCGTCTGCACAGAGAGAGAAAATTGAGTAGCAATGATTAATAGCAAAGTAAAACAACGTACAGAAATGAACTTCGATCGGCGCGATTCCATTCCCATGACAACTTATGTTTTCTGTTATGGAAGTGTTTATGGCTTTCGCATAATTACGGATGCAGAAATCAACGTCCTTTTATAGACCAAGCCCATTCCCATTTCTCCTTATTGTAAATAATATCGTTTGTTCAAAAAGAAAAAATAAAAAATAAAAAACAACTGATTGAATCACATTATTGCTAGCTCATTGTGAGGTTAAGTCAGGGTCCTCTCTACCTTAATGTATAATATCATTTGTTCAAAAAAAAAAAAAATCATTTGACAACTAATTTAATTACATTATTATCCGCGTACGAAAGACATTTTTTTATAACTGGCATTACAGCCTCTTAAGATGCAAATTGCATTATCCCAACTTGGAACCTACCACTCTTGTTCCTTAAAGACTTAAAAAGTAAACTGTATGACTTTTTCACTATTTTAGGTTATGTGTCAATGAGTACCCCACCATTTAGACAACCATTTTTTCTAATTATTACATTTTTTATGTTAATTTGAAATGAATGTCTCACTCCATAACTTCAAGACCGTTCTTCAAATCAACGTAATACATCAATCAGGATCCTCATATATATAAATAGTTGATTTTTCAAACTTGTTGAAATTTGATTAGTTCAACTTTCTCATCTTTTGAAATTTCTATGGAAGAATAATCCTTTGGATGCCAAAAATCTTTTGGTATAGCTAACTGATATGACAATCTTCATTCCTAACTTATATTGTATGCGTGTTGACTGTTAGGTATCCCATATCTATGAAGTTTCTTGATTAGGAAAACTAATGAAAAGGGTTTAAAAACTTTGAGTTTTAATCAAAATGACAAAAGGGTGTTGTGAGTGAATAGTACCAGGAGTGAATTTTAGAGTAAAATTGTCATTTTTTGTTAAAGAGTGTTTCATTTAAACTCCCTTCTTGATTCACCAAGCACCCACGCACATCCAACTACAACCAAACTATTGTGTTTAGTTTATGATTCACTAGTCTTCATGCACATGCTCACGAGCGTGCATAATGCATTTTTTGAATCACAGCATGCTACGCATGACTTACATGTTTTAAATGTATTTATATGCGTAAATTGACAAAAGAAAAGTCAAATATTTGAAGTAAATGAATAATCTTAGATCATGCTAGAAGAAACCCCTCATAAATCAATTAAAGCAGCTGAATCCACATAATAAAATCGATCTCCATTGAATTTATATTAAGAATAGAGAAAATAATATTTAATAAACAACTGATTGAATCACATTATTGCTAGCACATTGTGAGGCTAAGCCCACCCCCCTCTCCCTTAGTGTAGATAATATCGTTTGTTCAAAAATAATAATAATTTGACAACTAATTTAATTACATTATTATTCGCATGCAAAAGACTTTTTTTATAACCAACATTACAACCTTTTAAGATGTTTGAACGTATTTAAAAATAAGAAAATAATATTTAATAAACAACTGATTGAATCACATTATTGCTAGCCTATTATGAGGTACTAATTATTTGGAAAAAAAAAAAAAAAACTGTCCAAAAGAATATTAATTATTAAATAACATTGTTAAAATGACGAAAATACTCCTACCACATTTGATGCATTATTTTGGAGGCATTTTTGTCCACTTATTTTTAGTGAAGCTTGTGACCCCTAAAACAGTATTCACTTTAGGCTTGGCTTTTTATTTAGAGATGAAATTGAAATTTGAATACAAGAAAGCAAACGTGTCCTTAACAAACTTGGAAATAAAATAACCCACATCTCCATCCTCATTGCAGAAGGAGAGTCCAATGGAAAAAGTTGCTTAGCTTCCTGAAACCCTTTTCCTTGAGTTTGGTTGTGCCATTTGATTATTATTTTTATTTAGGTAAGAAATTAACTTAGCTCCTCAATAGATGAGATTAAGGAGGAGTTTCTTCTCAACATACTTTGTTACTGATTTACAAAACTTCGTTCACCTGGTGAAAACCGTTCATATTATAAATCACATTATAAAGATTTTATAGTTTATTATTATTATTATTTTGTAGTTATGACCTTTATAATATGATTTACCTTATACACGATTTCGATTATATGCATGAAGTTTTGTAAATCGGTATAACAAAGCATATGAAGGAATTACTCCTCCTCAATCTTAAGGAGTCAAGCTTTCCTCTTTAATGTGATTCAAATGCCATACATAAAACATGTGGATACCACCAAAAAAGAAAATTTGAAATTTTAAAGGGCAATAACAATTCTCTGTTAATAATCCTATTTATCATTTCTCCGACAAAAATTAATCAAAATCATTCATTACTCCGGCAAATGTCCAACCCTCCCCCCAAACCTCAAAGCAATCCCAAATGGTTCACCACTCTCAAAAGACCAATTTTATTTTCTTTCTTCCGGTTTAGGGATGACAATGGTTCGATTTGGGAACGAAAATGTTATATCCATCCCCATAACTATTATATATAATTTTCTTTCTCACATAGTGCAACTATTATATATAATTATATATATATATATATACACTATTATATTATATATAATTCGGTTCGGATTCAGGGAATGATATGGATTGGAGACCTCTATAACCATATCCAAAACAATAACCGAATATTTTTCACAGTTTTTCCCATATCCAAAATATCCCCGAACTTTCATATCCAAATCCAATTCATTTGAACGATTATCCACGGTTATCTATTTAAACTTTCAGAAGGGATGGTTAAATTTTGTCACCTTTGTTAATGTAACCATGACAGGGATCTTAGATGTGTCAAAGTGCAGAAATTCCTCGTCACTTACATCAACCTCTGGTAGCTCATCGCCTGATGCACCAGCTGCAACATTTACTCTTGGGATGCCTGTATATGCCCGTATCGCTCAAAGCAGCCTTTGGGAACATCAGTTTCTTTTCCTTTCATTTTTTCAGGAAACAACAATTAAGTGCACTTTAACTCTTGTTCCTTGCTAGTCACACTAAATTTAATGTGTAAAAATTAAGATAGACAATGAAATTATGAAGACACTTTAGAGCCTTTGGGAACATCACAAGATACGAATCGTTATAAAGACTGGTTTGCAAGAGCACTAAGCTCAAACTAGGAAATATCAGGATAGACTAATTTATTTATGTTCAATGACATTATATAAGTAATGTATAAAGAAAATCAAGTACCTTTATAGCAGCACCTAGGGCATCTAGAAGATTCCCATCTGAACTGACAACAAGGCCGTCAATGTAAAGATCCCAACAGATCTTTCCTTCCACAACTACCAGAGAGGAGAGATCAATTCCAGCACCTGAGACAAACAAAGGCACCTACATTTTCAACTCTGCAGTTGGATTAAAATACGCTCAACCGAGAATCCATTGCCAAAAGAGAAAACAGACCAGATCCACTTTTACCACCCAACAGGCAACGTCGAAGAGCCACAGAGAGTTCTGCTGACAGCTCCTCACCCCCTCTACCCTGCAGAAGTAAAAAAACAACAGCTTTACAATAAGTATAAATGCATGTAAAAGTAAGTATGCGCTTAACATCAAGACCGTGGTTATACCTTCACATTGGCAATGACATCTGCAGCACCCAACCTGACCCTTGCCAAACCATTTGCCTGGGCAACGGCCACAAAGAACGGAAATTATAACAAAATAAGTAAAATTTCATGTCACACCAAAAAATAAAATCCATTATTTTTAGTGAAACATATGACATATATTAACCTGGGAAATAACTCCAGTTTTCACACTGATGGGCCGAGGAGTCAATCTTTTTCGGCCATCAGAACGAATGTCCTGAGTAATGCCACCCTATATAAAATGCTTTTCTCCTATGGATAATCCCACCATTTCTGAACATATGATATGAAAATACATTTCTGATCTAATTAACTTCATAAATATCAAGGAGATGCTTTCAATATAGCTTGGACTATTAATTAAGCATGCATTTGCGGACTTTATGGTTTTTAAACAGAACAATTTGGCTTTTCCACTTATTTTTCCAGACTGGAATGTAGATGAAGAGATGCTACTGCTCGAGGTATTGAAAAAACTGATTTCTTGTTTCAATTATTATGATAAACTTATTTTTTTTCTCCTGTGCAACTAATAAATTTTGTCTACTATCACTTGTTCTTTGATGTTGCTGTTTATGGTATTGAAATGTATGGATTTGGGAGTTGGACTGAAGTTTCTGAACATGTTGGAACGAAAACCAGACAACAATGTATTGATCATTACAAAGCTATATATATGAACTCTCCATACTTTCCTCTCCCAGTAAGACCAGTGTTCTAATTAATGCATGTCCACACGCCACACGTGATATACACACACGAATTATATAAAAAGCAAAAATTATTACTAATAGTTTTCATGATATCCCCTTAGGACATGTCTCATGTTATGGGAAAGAGCAGAGAGAAGCTTCTTGCTTTTGCTAAGGGGTCTGATGAAATCAAGAAAGGTTAGTTCGCGTTGAGTCCATATTAGCTGAGGCCTGAAAGCAGTTATGCTTTGGTGTATGATTTATGATTTAAGATGCATCAATAGTTTAAGATCTTTTGTTAGGTAATTTATATTCAAAGGATCCACGAATTGTTTTCGAATGCCCTGTTTCATCTGTTTGTCATGGATAGTGAAGTCATTTGAATTAATTAGAATGTCTGTCTCATCTGTTTCTCCTTTCTCTGCAGAATTTCCCATGCTTGTGGAGATTACATTGAAAGAAGTGTCTGCCTTTTCTGCAGGAATCATGTATGGTATTTTTTATTATATTTTGTACCTACGTTGGTATCAAGCGCTTGTTCCATATCTTCTTGTCTAATTTTGTTTCTTAATTTTCTTAGTCAGATGTGAAGAATCAAAGAAGAATCCAACTTCCAAATCATCGTCGCAGTCAACTGCTGGTACACCAACCAACATTCTTGAGGCAGTTTTTAGCTCTTGGGCAATCTCATTTTTGTCGTATGTGGTTACGCATGACTGGAAATGTCTGATCTTCTGTTTTGCATCAGATGTTGCCAAAGGGTTGGTCCCAGGTGCTGTAAAGAAGGCATCCAATAAAAAGCAGATTAAGGACAAGACCAAAGTCGGTAAAGTGGAAGGTATGATTTTATGGTTACTTTCTGTTTCACAATTATTGCATTTGTAAACATACGCATATCTACTTCTACATGTCTTTAGAATTTCAGTGACTGACTTTCTTTAAGCATTGGTAATGTATCTCCGTGAACTTTATTGCCCAGAAGTTTTTTCCCCACAGATTATTTGTTGTCACTTAAATATTCATTTTATACATGATATATATTTACATACTTATGTATTATTTATCATGTATTTGGTTTAAAGCTTAATTTTATGTTATGTTATCAGCAGAAACTCAGGTTGACCGAAGCGTTGGAGAAAAAAAACTAAGGAGTTTAGTGGAAGAGGGACCTTCTGTGACAGAATTAAGCGGCTATAATTTCAAGACGCAAGAGTTTGAAATGAGTATGACAATGATGCTGAGCAGATTCTGGCAGATATGGAATTCAAGGATACTGACACTAATGCTGACCGTGAATTGAAACTACGAGTTTTGCATGTCTACGCCAAACGGTATTATATGGCTACTATGATAGATTAACGCTGATGGGTCTATTTTCAAAATCATAGCAATTATGAAGAGGGGAACAGTTTAAAATTTTAACAAAATGAAGTGATTATTTTCGTTACGTTCAGAAAATTTATACAGAACTTTATTTCTTTGTCATAATTATTGCAAATGCTAGGCAGAATGTCACAAAAACTTTCATACAAGTAATACTGTTATCTCATCACTAAAACGAGTTAGCCTTGCTGCCTGATGCACCAGCTGCAACATTTACTCTTGGAATGCCTGTTTCGCTCAAAGCAGCCTTTGGGAACATCAGTTTCTTTTCCTTTCGTTTTTTCACTTTAGTTGGAAACAACAATTAAGTGCACTTTAACTCAATTTGTCGAGAAATTTTTTTTTGTATCCGTAACACAAGTGATATATCACGTGTTATTATATAAGTGGTAAAAAATTTAATTTTTATGTTATTAATTTTTCATACAAAAAATCTTACTATTTGTATACAAACACATGATGAATTATCTTGTGTTCTAAGCATATTGAAAAAAATTTCCAATTTGTTGACCCACCGTTTCTCTAGATACTTCCCAGTTCCCACATCGTTTTTCTCACCGCTAAAACCCTCACAGCGCTGCTTGCCTCCACTCTCCCCGTCTTCCTCCTCGCCTCATCTGCTAAAATCTTTTCGATTCAAACATTTGACCGAACACTAACTTTTGAAAATCGTTATAAGCGTTAAAAAAAGTATCATTTTGCACTCTTTTTTCTTTATTTTTCACTAAAGCCTCGTTGTCTAGGATCGAATTGAAACATGTAACTCTTGAAGGTAGAATATAGATTACTCATTAAAGAAACTTATCAATTTCAATCACTCTGCTCAAAAAATGGGAGAATTAGTGCCATGCCCTGATCTTGAGAATCCTCTAGAAACATGCTAACATTTGGAACATCAAAACATGATGGCAAAATCAATAAACAAGGCACCACTAAGTCCACATTAGATAGTCAGCGGAAAGATAGTTTTTAATAAATACTAGTTCACTGTTTAAAACTGAAAACAATTACCAATTAAATTTCCTTTATTCAATCCTTCAAAAGAAATCTGAAAATTGAAAACTAAAAATCAAAGAGAAATGTTGTAAACACTCTAGTTTTCTAACCATACACACATCTGTTTAATCCTAGTCGTTGTTTTTGTTTCATCTTTTCAATGCACTGATTAGATATAATGACGTGTGTGTAATAGGAGAGACAAGTGTGTGGTTATTATTTCCCAAAAGGGTTGGACAATAAATTGGTATGAATTTGTTATTCATGAAATTGGAGTCTGAAATCTCTCATTTACAATTAAAGAGTAATATCACTAAACCGCAGTACTAAATAACTTCATTTCTCAAAATTAAAAACTAAAAATTTAGGTCATCAAAAGGACTCTTATTTTTTCGGATTATGATGTATTCTTTTGCTTTTATTTATTTTTATGTCCGAATTAAATATGCTTAGGATCTCACATAATTAAAGGTGGAGAAATCGACGTCCCTTTTTTTGTAGACAGTATATACAAAATTGTTTCTTTCAATGAGATACGGGAGCTATAGACTACAAAAGAATCCAAAAAAATAGTGATCCTAAACATACACGAAGTCAAGACGGTGGAGAAATGGGTGGTGATCGTGAACATAATAATTTGCTCAGACCATCGCTTTAAGACTTGAAGTCAAGTCATCGTTTGATAAAATCAGCCCATCCCCATCACTTGAAGACTAGAAGTCATTCATCGTTTGCATGTAATAATTTACAAACTCGATGGTTTAGTTTTATCTGTATGTTTGTTTGATCTTAAAGAATGTGAACATAATACTTTGAGCAGATAAAATCACTTGAAGACTTGAAGTCAAGTCGTTATTTGCATATGTGACTCATCTCAACGCTTATTTATCTTTTTAATACAAGTCCTAATTCAGTATATATATATATACACACACACACACACACACACACACTCCATACCTCAATTTATTTATCGTTATACTTACTTATCTCATGTTAATTACATGAGTTGAAGTTCTTCCATGTTGTAGGATTTACAATATATACACACAATTTATTCAATAGTACGTGAATATTAATTAATTTAGCCTTCAATTTAGGTTTAGTATTTTATTTTCTCGAGCTTTGCACACATAACAATCAATTAATTGTCACTCCTACTAATAAAAATGTCACTGAGGCTCCTATCATTTTCATAAACAAAGTGACTTTTGTTCCACTAATCACGGGCATGAGGTCTCATGAACCAGATTATAAGCCACTGATCATCAACATAAACGTTCTTGTGAAGCTAACCATGCATTCAAAGTTACAGGCCGACAAATCGATGGAAGTCTTTCGGAGCTAGCTAATATCCTATTCAGCACTTACACATATTTTTGGGTGTGCACAATATTAATTATATATTGCAAGATTTAACATGATTAATTTTATAGATAAAGTTTAAAAAAAGGAACATTTTGGATGCGGTTCCTAGCAATATTCTTTGATTGAAACCTTGTGTGTTTTTAGTTTTTGATCGAAGTTCCTGACATTAATGTAATAGTGTAGGTTACTATATTTTTTTAATTAAAAATTTAAATTTGTATTTGTTTATATCAATGAGATTTTAAATAAAATTCATAATTTGTGGGATTAAAAATAATAAAA